AGATGGCTGTGTCCCCCAGACTGGATCTCCTCCCTGGGGGCTGGGTCTGTGGCCGGAGGGAGGGGATGAATGAAAGACTGAGTGAAAGCACAGCACGAGCTGCCCTGGGTCGCACTCAGGTCCCAGCCCCCAGCCCCCAGCCCGGATGAAGGGCGCAGGCCGCGGGTCAGGGAAGAACCCCAGCTCTCCAGGGCAGAAGGACGTGGGACTCCTGGGAGTTCAGCCTGGCCCCGGGTTCGAGTCCTGCCTGCACTTCATCACCGGGCAGTTTTCGGGTCACAAGAGTCCCATGCTGGGCCTCAGTTTCTCCGGGGTTAAGCTGTGAATCACTTGCCCAAGGTACAAAGCCTGTGAGGGCTGAGGTGTGGATTCCAATCCAGCCCCTCTTCCCACTTTAACTTCTACAACCTGCAGACCCTCTACCTGCCCAAGGCTCTGTGCACATGACACAGCCTCCCCATCTCCATAAAAGTCTCTATCCAGAACCCCCACCAAAATAAGGCACTTTGACATTTGCAGGTCCCTTTCACCACGAAGAAGAAATTTAAAATTGTTTTACAACAGCATTAAATGCCTCACATTGAGCTGCTCTCCCAGCTGTTTTTTATTTTTAGACAGGCTCTCACAGAGTTGCTAAATTCACCAGTCTGGGCTTGAATTTGTGATCCTTTTGCCTCATCTTCCCACAGTGCTGGGATTACACAAGTGAGCCATCAAGCCTAAATATGATTGGTTTTAGAACCATCACATCTGCACTCCCAGGGCTGCCGCCTCCCAGTCTCCTCTGATCTCCCCCATAGGGTTCAGCCCATTTCACAGAGGAATAAAACAAGGCAGCAGAGGCCAAGCCACACCTGGGGGAGGGACTCAAACCTGGGGTGTCGGCTTCCCAGCCCAGCAGTCACCCGTGCCCGGTGCACCAGGGACAAGGGAGATGCCGGTCTGTCGCCTCCCTCTCCTCGCCCAGGACCCCACCCGGGAGCTGGCTCAGCCCAGCGTGGGTGACGGTATGTGGGTCAGGGTGTGCCCGGGGCAGCAGACCGGAGACCGGGGTGCCTGAGCCACGGCGCTGAGGTGACGCTTGGTGGCGGGCAGGACAGTCCCCGGGCCGCGCTCGGCTTCTCAGCACGGGCTCAGCCCGCTTTACAGGGCAGTAAACTGAGGCCCAGCGGCCTCCCTGAGGGGTCTCCAGACCCACTGCGCTCTTGACCCTAACCAGCGCATGTGAAGCAGAGGATCGGGTGGCATCGGGCACGAGGTGGGCTGCGCGGGCTCCGAATCCGTAGGGTGCAGGGTCTGAAGCCCCCGACTTCGGTTTCCCGAGAGCCGGGGGCCCAGGGAGCAGCGCCGGCGTGGCCCAAGGTCACCAGGGAAGCAGGCGCTCTCGTGGTGGCCTCCGGGTGCCAGAGCAGCAGAGGCAGGAGGCCCAGGACATGGGCAGATGGCGGGGCTGACCCCCCAGCCCTGCTGGCTCCTTCCGCGAGACCCTAATCTACCCGATTTATTTTCATCGTTGGAACAGGTGCTGGACCTCCCCACCCCCACCCCGCACACTGAGAGGGACCCCCAAGTCCGGGCTCCGGGTTTTCCAGGCCTGGCCAGTCCCCGCCAAGCGGGGGACCCCACAGTCACCTCCTTCCACGATTCCAGCCTCGGGGTCCCTACAGAGGCTGCCGTCAACAAACGCCCACTCTGTCCTGAACAGGGACGCTGGGACTGGAGTCTAGGGGGCCCGGGGATCCCCAGCTCTTCCAGCTGCCAGGCCTCACCTGGATGGGAAGCGGGTTTCGTTTCAGTCCCTGGGGTCTGCAGGGCAGCGCTGGAGGAGAGGGATTAGGGTCCCCCCTCGCCTCCCGGGATGCAGGTCGCAAAGCCCAGAATAAACATATTGGGCCGGTGTCTCGGACGGAGCCACCCAGTCACTCTCGCTTCGGCGGGGAGAGAGGGCTCGCTCGGGAGGGGCCCCCGTCTCGGGTTAGACCCCGATTGCCCGGGGGAGTCCGGGCGCCCCCCGCGGTCCCACGGCACCCATATTAGGGTCCCCCCTCGCCTCCCGGGATGCAGGTCGCAAAGCCCAGAATAAACATATTGGGCCGGTGTCTCGGACGGAGCCACCCAGTCACTCTCGCTTCGGCGGGGAGAGAGGGCTCGCTCGGGAGGGGCCCCCGTCTCGGGTTAGACCCCGATTGCCCGGGGGAGTCCGGGCGCCCCCCGCGGTCCCACGGCACCCATATCACCCGAGCAGCCAGACCTCCGTCCCTCCGAGGCTGCGGCTTTGCTAGGGCAGCTAGGGGTAAGGGGCGTGGCCGAGCAAAACCCCGCCCCAGCAAAGGCTCTGAGAAGCAGAGGCGGGCTCAGAATCCTTGCGGCCTATCGTTGGTCTATTCAGGTGGCCGCGGCACCAGCCCTGCACGCTGATTGGTTGAGCTAGAGGTTTCTTTTTATACACACAGCCCCATCGGCGTTATTTGCATAATTTAAAGAGACAAGTGGTGTTCCTTTCATTTCAAATGGTTGGGAAGCTAGAAAAGGATAAGCAGCGTTTGTGAGAGCTCCCTGTAGGCTAGACAGTGACCAAGCCTCACGCGATGCCCCTACGATGCTATGCGAGTGGCAGTATTGGTTTGGGGTTTTTTTTTTGGTACCGGGGATGGAATTCAGGACCTTGAGCTTGAGAGGCAAGCGGCGACCCCAGTGAGCTAAATCCCCGGCCCGACAATACTTTTTTTGAGTGTCTCAGAGTAAATATATTAAAATGAAATTATGGTCCATGTACAAAGCTGCCAAAGTGTAATAATTAACATGTGTAAGTAATGCGCACTAATAAAGAAGATAGATGTGAAGAGGAAAAGGCAAACATACAATTACATCCAAAATGAGCATGGTGATTCAGGTTTTTAATTGCATCGCTCAGGAGACTGAGGCAGGAAGATCACATATTTGAGGCAGCCTTGGCTACATAGCGAGTTCAAGGAATGTCACACAACATAAAGAGGCAGTTTTAAAAAACTTTTATTTTTACATCCTTCTTGAACACGCAGACTTTTTTCCTTTTCACGATTTCCTAAACACAATATAAAACTATTTATAAAGCATTTACTGTACATAGCAGAGATTATGAGTACAAATGAATCTGACCCTGTCTGGTCCTAACATTAAACATTAAAATATCTAGAGGGTCAGGGATTTAGCTCGGTGGTTCCGCCGCCTGCCTCGCAAACGCAAGGACGTAGTTAGATCCCCGGTACCAAAAGAAAAAGAAAGTGTCTAGAACCTTGGGGCGGAGCCTGCAACTCTAGGTTGCAGTGTTCCCACCTAGCGGACAGCCTATTTCCCGGCTGCTTTGGAGGGCAGATTTGGACAAGTGAGCAGGCGCAGAAAGGACTGTCTGATTGGCTGTTCATTGTGACGCGCACACGAACTGAAAAGACACATAAGCCCGCCCCTTCCTGCCGCGCCTGTCAGTCCCCGCGGTACGTTATCGCCACGCACCCTCGTACGCACAGTGCGTCATGGCGTCAGGACGCGCGGGCGCCATCCCGGAAGCGCGAGCAAGGCTGCCAGATGTGCAGGTGCCGCCGCCACCGACACCCGGGCTGAGTTTGGGATGGGAATGGGGCGTCCGGGGCCGCTGGGGAACCGGGCCGGGTCGGGCGTGGCACCTGGGCTGTCGTAGGGTGGGGCGTGCCGCTGGCCACATCTGGTCACTCCTGCTGCGCAAAGGCCTCAGTTTCCCCGTCTGCGCAATGGATGCGCGGGCGGTGCCGCCGGCCGGATCTGGATCCGGATTCGGATCCGAAACGTGGCAGTTGGGGCTGCCTGCGTTCAGATTGGTGTCACCCGGAGCCGCGCCGTTCGCTGCTTTTGCCTCAGTTTCCCAGCTCGGTGGGGGCGGGGCGTGTCTGTCCGGGCCCAGCCCTGCTCTGAGGTTTGGGGTTAAATGAAACCTTGGCGTCTTTGTCTGGGCTTTGACCTTGGGCAACTGAGCGCGCCCCGCCCCCCGTGAGCCCCAGTTTCTCTCGGAAGTGATGGTGTCTGCCTCGTAGAGCTGCCTGAGAATTAAATGGAGCCTTTATTAAATGAAAATCGAGTACAAGTGTTTGCTTGTATTCTTGAAAGCACCCGTGAGGCATTTGGTTAAAATGCCTGGGCGGACTGGGCGGACCAGGGACTTTACATCACTGTTAGATAAACAGCTTGCTCGGAGCTCCGCGTTTTCAAATTTTTATTTTCAAGAAGCAGGATCTCCATAGTGATTCTTTGGTCACAGCGTTTTTAGTGTGTCTCGCGCTGGCCAGAGCTTCGCTTTTCATCACTTTTGGTTTCAGTCCTCTTCTTTTTTTGTCTTTTTTGTTTTGTTTTTGCTTAGTATTTTTGTTTTATCTTTCTGAGACGGGGTCTCACTGTGTACCCCAAGTTGGACTCGAATTTGAGATCCTCCTGTCTCAGTTTCCTGTGTTCTGGGATTATAGGTGTGTGCTGCTATGCCCTGAGAGATCCTTGTTGCCTTTTTCTAACATGAGAAAATAGGGAAGTGAAGGGACCCTCCTAAGGTCACAGAACCTTCCTGTTTGTGGGTTTGCCCCATGAATGGATTCAGAGCAGGGACCAGAGCCCCTGCTGGATCTGTGCCACAGTGTATACGATGGCCCAGTGGTTCGTCTGGGAAAGAGGTTGCCATACACCCCATAGCCGTCACATCTGGGAGCCAGAGACCAGCAAGACCCCTCCTTTGAAGCAGAATTGAGTCTCAGGAGGTTCACATCCTGTCAGGCCCTAGCTGAGGGCCTCTCCTCATGTGACTCTCCTTTTTCTCTGTCTCTCCCTGCACCCAGGGCCTTAAGATTTCTAGGCAAATGCTCTATTGCTCAGCCCTACCCCACTTTGAAATTTTAAAACAAGCTCATTAAGTGAACCAGTTAGCCTTCTAACTTTTTTTTTTTTTTTTTTTTGAGATAGGGTCTCACTATGTAACCCAGGCTGGTCCTCAACTCACAGTGATCCTCCTGCTTCAGCCTCCCGAGTGCTGGGGTTACAGGCATGTGCCACCATGCCAGGCTAGCCTTCTAACTTTTGACCCTCTCATGCCAGCCTGCTGAATTGCTGGGATTGCAAGCACAGGCCACAGTGTCTGACTCCAGTTCTCTGTATACACAACCATGCTTCTTGGAAATGTGAATTTGGGTGACTGAGTCTGGCTTGTAATCGGTGCTCAATAAAAAGTGGGTGTTAAAGCTGAAGAGGGAGCTCTGCACGTCCTTGCAGCTCACTTCTATTTTCTTTGTTTCTTTATTGACACAGGGTCTCTCTATTGGCTCAGGCTGCCCTTGAACACAGTCCAGGCTGGCCTCCAACTCATGGAGATCCTCTTGCCTCAGCCTCCCAGGTGTTGCAACTGCAAGCATGCACTACCGTGCCTTATGCAGCTCACTTCTAGAAGAGGTGAAGGAGCTAAAACCTGCTAATCACATTCAGGGCATAGATAGCCAGGTGTGGGGGTACAAACCTCTGATCCCAGTACTAGGGAGGCTGAGGCAGGAGGATCTGGAGTTGGAGCCCTCCATCTTGGGCATTTTAGTGAGACCCTGTGTCAGAACAGATCTCTTGGGACATGAAGCAGTGGAGGTGGTGTGTGTTTGATGAGAAGCCATGTATCCTGCTGATGGGGCCTGCACAGGGAGGGTGGCCCGAGACGGCGAGGTGGTTCTAAGCACCGAGTTTGAGGGTGAGCCCACAAGGTTCCCGTGCTGTGACCCCACCCATCGCATCCTTGGGTTCCTGGGTGGCTCAAAGCCCAGGTACTGTCCCGGTAGCACCTCTAGGTCCCCCTTGGTGTCCCTGGTGCCAATCAGACTCTGTGGCCACCGTTTCAGGCCACGGAGGAGGAGGAAATGGATGCCCCGGACTCGGCCTCAAGGGTCTTCTGCAGCCGAATCCTGAGCATGGTTAATGTGGACGATGTGAACGCCATCATCCTGGCCCAGAAGAACATGTGAGTGATGCCGTGGGCCCCGGCGCAAGACGGAGCCGGGGTCTGGCTGCCTTTGGTGGGTGAGCTGCTTATCTTCCAATGGGGCTGGGGCTCTGAGCCCAGCTGCGTCTGCAGGGTGCCCCAGGGGCTTCTGGGAAGGACTGGGCCGACAGCAGCCCAAGCCTCCATGGCATCAGGGCAACCACACCCTCCTGGCAACAGACACCACACACAGGTGCTCCCTACTGACCCCCCAGCCTGCTGTGAGTTCTTTAGGGCAGATTCAGACCTGGCCCCTGGGGAGGGAGACAGAAGTAGACTGGGCCCTCCTGGCCCCATGGCGTCAGGTATAGCCAGAGGAGCGGCTGGGGGCTGGTCAAGGCTAGGAAAGCTGGGAGTAGGAGAAGTGTCCATGACAAGGTGCATTGGTTTTCTGTGACTGCCACAAAATACCTGTGATAACAGTTTTTTGTTTGTTTCTTTCTTTTTTGAGACAGGGTCTCACTACTAGCCCAGGCTGGTCTTGAATTCAATGATCTTCCTGCCTCAGCCTCCTGAGTGCTAGGATTACAGGCATGCGCCACCACGCCCGGCTGCCATAACAATTTAAAACAGGAAAGGTTTAGACAGGGGTGGTAGTGCTCCCCTGTCTTCCCAGCACCCAAGGCTAAGGCAGGAGGGTTCCTGTGAATTCAAGGCCAGCCTGGGCCACAGTATAGTGAGGTCCCGTGTCTTGTTTGTATCTCACTTTTCTCTCACCAGCGTTTAAAGAAGAGAGGTTTATTTAGCTCACAGTCTGTAGAGGTTTTAGTCCATAATCAGCTGGCTCCAAGGCAGGGTGGCACATGGCAGAGGGGCAGCAGTTCATGGTAGACCGAATGTTGCAAAGTAAGGCTGGGGATTTAGTTCAGTGGAGCCACACCTGCCTGGCAAGCGCAAGGTCCTGAGTTCGATCCCCGGTGCCCCTCACACAAAAAAGTAGCAAAGCAACAAGGGAACCTTAATAGTGTCTTTCTGCGTTCTTTTATCTTATCCATACTACCAGGATTAGGGCAGTACCAAGCCAGAGTACTGTTTTAGTAATCACGCTCTAGATTCAGCCACCTCTGAAAGGGCCACCTATGATTCCAAAGACTTTGAGGGGACATCTGGACACAAACCATGACACCCTGCCTTAAAGAAGAAAGGGTACATTTTTTCTCTACAGTGGTGGGGATTAAGCCCAGGTCCTTTGCTCTGAGCCACGTCCCCAGCGATTTTTTATTTTGTATTTCGAGCTAGAACTAGAAGTCGCTAATTTTCCCTCACAAGGATGGAACTCAGGATCTTCTTCTTCTTCTTCTTTTTTTTTTTCTGGTACCAGATATCGAACTTGGGTCCTTGCGCTTGCGAGGCAAATAGCAGAACCACTGAGCTAAATCCCCAGCCCTGAACTGATGATCTTACATCAGCTTTCCAGGGTGCTGGGGCCACAGGCATGTACCACCAAGCCTATAGTTTTTTTTTTTTAGTAGGGTTTTGAGGTTTGAATAAGTTTCCAAAGTGTTCACGAACATGCACAGACCAAGGGAGCAGCCTCTGCAGAATCTGTGACAGGACAGCCGCCTGTGGCGGCAGCACCCTGGGGGTTGGGCAGGGCCACTTACCCTGCCTGCATCTCCGCCTCTGCTGCCAGGCTGGACCGCTTTGAAAAGACCAACGAAATGCTGCTGAACTTCAACAACCTGTCCAGCGCCCGCCTGCAGCAGATGAGCGAGCGCTTCGTGCACCACACGCGGACGCTGGTGGAGATGAAGCGGGACCTGGACAGCATCTTCCGCAGGATCAGGTGGGCTGCACCTGCACTGCCAGGTGGGGCGCCGCTGCTCCAGGAAGACCCACGTTCTAGGGGGAAGAGCTCATGGCTTTGAATTTAAATTGTGTTTATTTGTCATAACTGTAACAGTGCACTAGGATCACAGCAGAAAGGGCGGGGAGAAGTGCACAGTGATCCTCCCACTCGCACCTGTCGCCCCACTCGGGTCTTTTGTCAGGAGCAGAGCAAGCCTGGTGCGGTGGCGCATGCCTGTGATCCCAACACTCAGGAGGCTGAGGCAGGAGGGTCCAGAGCCTGGAGGACTTGGCGAGTCCCTGTCTCAAAATAGGAAGAGGGCTGGGGGCACAGTACAGTGCATAGGCCGTGGGAACTGTCCCCAGTATGGGGTGAGGATGCCCAAGGAATAGAGGAGGTTGGGGCACAGGGCATTGACGGGAGAGGACAGACCAATGCCTGGCTCCACGCCATCCTCTGACTGCGAGGTAGTTGGTGCCCACCCTGGGCTGAGAGATTCGCCGGAGGCTGCCAGGCTGCGTGCTGGGCCTCCTGACAGGCAGAGAAAGAGACAGGATATTGTGAGCGGTGGGGGACATGCCTGCCACCGGCCAGCCCCGGCCTGACAGGATCAGCTTGTCCTTTTTGTCCCTACAGGACACTGAAAGGGAAGCTGGCCAGGCAGCACCCAGAGGCTTTCAGCCGTAAGTGTCCCCAGGGCCACTGTGCCCTCCACCCAGGGGTGAACCCCCAGGAGTCTCCCACAGTCCTTGGAGGCTGTGGAGGGTGCTGAGAACGCCAACTGTCTCTGCCCAATGTGTACCTCAGAGCCTTTCAGCCCAGGCTGTCTCCGTCACCTTGGTCCAGTGGTCTTCTGACCTAGGGCTGGTGACAGCTGAGCAGGCAGCCGGGGGAGGTGGCCTGCCCTCAGCTCGTGGCCTTCTGTGTGTCACTTCGTTACCTGTCTTCAGTTTGCTGCTCTGTCCAGTGGGCTGGGAGGACCTGCCAGGTCACCTGCATCTGAGCAGGGCCCTGACCCTACCCGCTGCTCCCTCTCAGATGTCCCCGAGGTGTTGTTCCTGGAAGATGAAGACGAAGACCCCATCCCGCCCAGCGTCACCACCACCATCGCCACCTCAGAGCAGAGCACGGGCTCATGTGACACCAGCCCAGACACTGTCTCGCCCTCCCTCAGCCCCGGCTTTGAGGACCTGTCCCATGTCCGGCCCGGCTCCCCCACTGTCAATGGCCACAGCCAGACAGACAACGAGGAGATGCCAGGAGAGTAGGCGGCTCTGGGCTCCCAGGCTCCCCCAGGGGTGCAGCCTGGGGGTCTCTAGTTCCCAGGCTCCCCCCTCAGACCACTTCACTTCTGAAGGACCCTCTACCACACCAGGGCCAAGCCGGGCACGCCCAGTCCCGCTGCGGTCTCGGCCTGGCCACAGGGACTCCCCAGAGCTGGGCCCCGGTGTGCTCTGAATGGGTCTTAAAATGTCCCCACAGACCAGAGCCAGATGTCCCCCTCCTGGCCAGGATATCCTGGAAGTGGACATTTAGCGCCACACCCGAGTCCGCCTGCCCACCCCTGCACCCTAATGCAGTTTCCTGCTCCTGCCTCTGCCAGGAGTTCAGAAGTCCTTTCTCCAGCTTTTGGCTTAGAGGCCTGAGCTGGGCCAAGACTAGAAAAAAGAGCCTGCCACCCAACCCGGCCCGGCCAGGCCTGCATCTGCCCAGAAGTGAGGACCCTGTGACTTCAGCCACTGAGGAAAACAGTTTAACGGAATATTTTTGTACCCGATGTTTACATATACTGTTCGGAAGTTACCAATAAAAGACTGTTGCTAAGGAGGAACCTATGCCCGTCTTATCTTCCATCCTTGGGTCTATCCATGGGCAGTGAAGGTGTGGGTCGGGGCCCTACTGGACCAGGTGCAGACAAGTCGGGGCTGCTTTTGATGGGCCCCTGGGTGACAACCCTAAGAAGCCAGTTCTCATGGCCACCTGAATCCATTCTGGCCTCAGGGTGAACAACTGGGGATCCAGACACACACATCCCCACAGCACTCAGAAATTACATTGTTAAAGGCATCTCACCAGCTGGGTGGCACATGTCTGTAGTCCCCACCACTCTACTAGGGAGGCTGACGCAGGAGAATCTTTTAAGCCCAGGAGTTTGAGACTGGCCTCGGTAATAGACTGTCAAAAAAAAGGCCTAGAGCATGGTAGTACAGGGCTGTATTACCAGGAGTCAAGAGGGTGAGGCAGGAGGATATCTGAGTTCTTTGCCAGCCTGGACCACGAAACCCAGTCTAAAAAAACCTAGCGAGCTGGGGGGGTTGCTCAGGGCGCCACGCCCACGATCCTCGGTACCGAAAAACAAAGAACAAAAAAAAACCTAAAGGCATCTTCCCAGACGAAGGAGTATCTGCCTTCGCCTGGTACATAGCAGTACAGGGGAATGTCGAAGGAAATACACTGCCAGGCTCAGGCAAGGGCTCCGTCCTCACTCTCCCGCAGCAGCAGTTCCCAGGAGTCTCCAGCATCTCCTCAGCCCCTCACCATCGCGATCGGAGCCCTGAGTCTCGGCCCTCTGCACCATGCCTTTGATTAGCAGAAATATTCCCCTACTCTGTTCAAGCGCTCTTAAAACGTTCGCTGCATGCCAGCAGCGGGCGGGGTAGGCAGCTGGGCTAAACCCGCTGAGAGGCTCGGCCTTGTCACGTGGTCACGTGGTTCGAAGGGCGGTGCCTGAGCTGGAAGTTGCTTTGCGTGCTCACCCACACGCCGGGTGGCTTCCTTTGCCAGCATCCAAGATGACGGCATCGGGGGGCGGGGTCTGGGGCGGGCCCTGCTCTACGGCGCGGATTGTGACGCAACACGCGGTGTGCTCGATGCGCAGGCGCTCTCGGCGGTGAACTGGCGGTTTCCACTTCCGTCGCCCTCTTTCTCTTCGACGAGGCGGCCAAGCGGGTAGGTGGCGGCGGTCCGGCTGGTTTGTGTCGAGTCTGGGGCTGTTGGGGGTTTTGCGGCCCTGGGAGGCTGCCAGGGCGGACCTGAGCTTGTCAGGAAGGGCCGGTCTCGACAAGGTGGCGGCAACTCGGGGAGGGGCCCGCCGGTTCCGAGGTCCGCGCCACCCCCTGAGGCCTTAGGCTGCGGTGGGCCTTCTCGGGGCGAACCGAGCCAAATTCGGTAACTTGGATATCTCTCTTTTTTTTTTTTTTCGTGTTTGTGAGGCAGGATTTGGCTACGTAGTTTAGGCTGGCATTGAACTCGTTGAGAAGCCAGGTTAGCCTTGAACTTTCGATCCTTTGGCTTCACCCAAGTGCGGGGTGGGGGTGGCGTCCACTTTCTAGGCTTTTCCTTCATTTTTTTTCTTCTTTTTGTGTGTTGTATGTAAACAAGTACCTGGCACGTGTTCGGCAGATAGTGATGGGTGGTAATAAGTGGCAGCCACGTTGTTATGCTCATTTGGTTTTGAACGTGCTGGATATGGAACCCATGGCCTGCTGTCTTCTGGGCGAGTGCTTTTCCAGCCAGCTTCACCCGTAGTTCTGGCCATTGTTTATGGATTGGGACCGTGGCAAGAAATGAGGTCTTAGATGTTGGTGCACTACTAAGAATGAAGCCAGGAGCGTTGGTGTTCCAACCTGGAGCTGGGAAAAGAGAGGGGTGTGTGTTGCAGGAGGCGGGACCCCTACGCAGGGAGGGTGAGGTAAGGAGCACCTTGCGCAGTCTGTGCAGATGGGACCACCCTCCGGGAAGATTTGTGTGACCGTGCTGTCATTCCATTAGAAAAAGGGCTCTGTCGTTGAGGTATACCTGCTGCCCTTTTTCTTTATTTCTTAATTTTGAGAAAATGGTTTTGCTAAATTGCTCTGATGACCTCAGACTTGGGATCCTCCTGCTCATCCCCCTTACAGGCCCTGGCTTCTGTATCCAGCACTGGTAAAACTCGACAGCATCCAGGAGTTGGGGAGAGGAAGTGTGAGCTTAGGTTGCTCGCCAGAGTGTGGGAGGCCCTGAGGGGTAGAAGGAAGGGACAGCCTATAAGCCTGAGGTTGGGGTGGCATGGTGCCTCCAAGCTGGCGTCTGGCAGACCTGCCACCTCATCGCCCTCCCACCTGCCAGCAGACGCAGAGATGCAGATCTTCGTGAAGACTCTGACAGGCAAGACCATCACCCTTGAGGTGGAGCCCAGTGACACCATTGAGAATGTCAAAGCCAAAATCCAAGACAAGGAGGGTGAGTTGGGTTCGGTCAGGGCTCTTTCCCCACCATGATTTGCTGCTCTCAGTACTGGGGAGCCTGTGTCCTGTTCTGGGCGGGGGCTGGCTGTAGAACCCTGTTTTGCGAATGTCCTCGGTGTGACTTGGTGGGGAGCAAGAATCTTCCTGTCTTCTTTGGGGAGAGGCACTGCTGGGCCACTCCTGCATGAAGGCACTGTGGCGCTGTTGGCAGCCCCAGTAGTTGAGCTCTGTCCTGGTCCCCGCCCCCCAGGGATCCCCCCCGACCAGCAGCGTCTGATATTTGCTGGCAAACAGCTGGAGGACGGCCGGACTCTCTCTGACTACAACATCCAAAAAGGTACCCACTGGGAAGGTGGGACCCCTTCACCCTGGCTGGCATTCTGCAGGGCTCCTTGGGGTCACCAGGGTAGTCATTCCTACGATGAGGATCAGGCAGGGATGTGGGCCATGGGTCCCCTCCAGCACCTCAAAACAAAAAAGATGAGGATCACGTAGGGCAGGGTATTAATGTTTTGTCACTTGAAGACATCTGATGTCCTTCCCAAGACGACACTGGGGTCTTTTCTCATGGTTTGTTTTTAAATGACTGGCACGAACACAGGGTATTCTGTATAAAAAGGTGATGGGCTTTGTGGGTGTGGCTCAGTGAGAGTCAGCTGTTCCAGCTCCAGGGGAAAAACTACACCAAAATGTAACTTCGGGAAGCTCCAGAGACTGTTCTGCTGCTTGTGACGACAAGGCTGGGGCTGACTGTGGGGTCCTGTCTCGGGGGCCCCATCACTCTGTGGGGTGTGCCTTGGGCCTGTGGTGCTGGGTCTGAGGTGCCATCCCTCCCTCGACCCCCTAGAGTCCACCCTGCACCTGGTGCTTCGTCTGCGGGGTGGGATCATCGAGCCATCCCTGCGCCAGCTTGCACAGAAGTACAACTGCGACAAGATGATCTGCCGCAAGTATGTGCTGGGGCGGGCGTGAGACGCGGGTGTGGGGTAGAGTTGGGGTGTATTCACGAGCGCGCCATCCCTGCTAGGTGCTATGCCCGCCTGCACCCCCGTGCCGTCAACTGCCGCAAGAAGAAGTGTGGCCACACCAACAACCTGCGCCCCAAGAAGAAGGTCAAGTAAAGATCTCCATCCATCCCTCCTCCGGGAGGGCACCACCTGCCCAAGCGCAGTGGCCTTGGTCTGAATAAAGTTTCCCTCCCCACTTGACTGGAGCAGCAATTGGTGTCCTCGTGGCTGTTTTGTCCAGGGGGTGGGGGTGGCTGCCGTCTTTGGGACCCTCCACACTGTCATCCTTGGGGTCCCTGTCATTAGGGACCTTGTAAAGGAGGTGGCCCCACCCTACACATTTTTTTCACTGCCAAGCACAGGCCATTCTGAGGCCTGACTCCAGGCCTGGGGTCTGTCTCGAACCAGGAGTTGAAGGTTTGCTGGGACCAAGGCTCGGCTGGGGTACTGGCTGGGGTACTGGCTGGGGTGCTCATCAGCCTGGACACTAAGGGGTCTGGGTGTGGGCAGGAGAAAGGGCCGTCTGGCCCTGGAACCGCTGCTCAGTCTGGACCCTGATGTCCTTGGGCTCCAGAGAAGTCAACAATAAGGTTTGGATCCTGATGCTGTGGATGGAAATGCACTTGTGCCCCTGAACTGCACACCCGCCGAGTCTTCTGGTGAGGGCCTGCCTAGGCTGGCCTGGGTTCACACAAGTGGTGCACGGGGACTGAGGTGTGCCCTGCTGTGCTGATCAGCCTCAGGTTCGGTGCACACCCGAGGGCGGTGGAGGTGCAGCCTGCCCTCTCCTGGACCACTGCCAGGCTGCAGTCTTGTCCTGCTTCAGCCGGCCCCTCCTGCTCCTCAGCCGTCCAAGCACGGTGCAGGCTGTGTCCGCCTCAGACCCTGGTGGGCCCGGCCGGCTGCG